TTAATTCGCACTTAATTCAATATTTGCTTTGGGGTGTCAAGGACCTCCCCCTTTAAGTGGTTCTGAGTATTTTACGTGGTCAATAATTGGTAATCTTTTGTTAGATGGTGGGGTAAAATATTGGATTTACAGGCATTTTAAAAGGCAATGAACTTTGAAGAATAACTTTTCGAGAAATTCCTTTTCTCTATAGTTTAGAAAAGGGTTTCTGTTGATCCCTGATGCAGATAGGAGCCTCCGAAAAAAATGATCCCCAAAAGCATACCTTGGATAGAAAAACTCTAAAAGGGTTCTTTCTGTTGGATAACGACTCTAAAATGTATTTTTTTCATAGAAGAAGCCCGATTACAGGTTATCTAAATTCAGAAGATACCTAATGGCCTTCAATATAAATTATTTTATAGAGTCCTAATGCAGGTTGAAGCCTCAGAAAAAAAAATGATCCCCAAAAGTTTAGCTTTGATCGAAAAACTCTAAAATGTATTTTTTTCATAAAAGGAACCCGATTGCAGATTATCTAAATTCAGAAGATACCTAATGGCCTTCAATATAAAGAAGTTCCAAGAACGTTTTCTATAGAAGGGAGCCGAAAGTCTTCAAAAATGGTCCTATTAGTCGCCTTCTTTAGGGTAAAGTAGGCGAAAAGATCTCCATTTATCATTTATCAATAAATGGTCTTCGATGGACCACTATAAGGTATTTTTTAGATAGAAGGCCACAAACACATCCCCTGCAGACCGAACATTTCCAAAAAGTCTTCTTTGGTGTTCTATATGTTCTTCTAAAGGTGTTTTGTAGACTTTGACAACCTTCCCTATAAATATAACATCTCAAAAGAAAATATCTTAAAGGAAAAAGTTCTACATAGAAACAAACAATACCTCTGGATCGCATACAGAATCTTTTATTAATTTTCTAATTTCGACAAACGTTCCAAAAAACTCTCTATAGATACAAATCCTTAAATGAGTATTCTATAGATAAAAAATATATACCCTACAGACAAAGTTATTTTTGAAGGTTGCCATGGGTTGAAAGACTTGAATAAGTCATTAAAAATCTCTCAAAGGTCTCATATCTACAGAGATTCTTTGGAGATCTCTATAATCCCTTCTTTAGTGCAAAAGGTCATTTAGATTTGCAGTAGATAGACTCTTTAATGTATTTTACGTACGAAAGACCTATAAAGGGTCTTATACAGATGGAATGCTTCTTAGAGGGGCTGAATAGTTGAAAGGCCTTCAAAAGTCCTCCAACAGATAAAATAATTTCCATAAAGTCTGCAATATAGAGGAGAATAGATTTAAAATATCTTCTATATGGGTCTATCTTTTATTTGGGTCTTTTGAAGATAGAACCGCCTGAAAGGACCTTCACACATACCCAAGGTTTTATACACTCTACTTTATGACCACAAATGGTATATATCATTTGATACGGTTAAAAATTTGACCAATCCACATAACTGTCTGTCTCTTAGGATGAAATCCATTATAGGTGTAGACTAAGAGACGTTCTTCTATTAATCTAGCTGGAACTCCTGATAGCTCTTGAAGAGAGCATTCCATTTACTACAACCATTGCACAATGGACCCACATCCAATTTGTCTGCCCAAAACTATTTCAATATCTACATATGTAAACCCTAGAAACCAACAGTGACCTCTTTATCAAATTTCATATTTTCGGGATTCCCCTCATTCAATACCCACTTTAGTACCACTTGGTACCTTTCCAAAAATTATAGTGCATATTTCCAAAGCCACCTTCATACCACATCTATATCAAATTTGAGGATTCTAGCGCTATCCCTTCACCCAATACCAAATTTAGCACTATTCAATTAAAATATACCATCTAGTACTTTTCGTACACATTTCCAAAACCACCTTCTTATCTCAATTCCAGATACAAACAGAGACCTCAATCTAAAAATTTCATGATTCCACCTCTATTCCTTAACTCAATACCAAATATAGTACCATTCAGTACTTTTCGTACAATTATAGCATCCATTTCCAAAAACCACCTCCTGATATCAATAGAGACCTCAATATCAAATTTGAGGATTCCAGCCCTATCCTTTACCCAATACCAAATTTAGTACTTTTCGTACAATTATAGCACCCATTTCCAAAACCACCTTCATATCTTAACCACAGACACCAGGAGTGACATCTTTATTAAATTTGAGGGTTCCAGGGTAGGATACCTAATACCAAAATTAGTATTATTTAGAACTTTTCGTACAATTATAGTACACATTTCCAAAACCACCTCCACAGCTTTGTTCCTAATACCAATGGAGACCTCAATATCAAATTTGAGGATTGCAGCCCTATGCCTTCAGCCAACACCAATTTAGTGACATTCAATACTTTTCGTACACATTTCAAAAACCACCTCCATATCTCAGTCCCAGATACCAACAGAGACTTCAGTATTAAATTTCGGCATTTCCGCTCAATGCCTTCCACAAATACCCACTTTAGTACCACTTAGTACTTTTCCAAAATTTATAGTACATGTTTCCAAAACCACCTTCTTATCTTAATCACGGACACCAACAGTGACATCTATATCAAATTTGAGGATTCCAGCCCTATCCCTTCACCAAATACCAAACTTAGTACTATTGATAACTTTTCGTACAATTACAGTACACATTTCCAAAACCGCCTCCATATCTCAATATGGAGGAAGAGATTCAAACAGATACATCAATATAAAATTTCATGATTCACCTTCACCCAATACCAAGTATAGTGCCATTCAGTACTTTTCGTACAAATATAGTACACATTTCAGAAATCACCCCCATATATCAAGGCTACACATGCACATCGACCCTAATACCAAATTTCAGATTTTAAGCACTATCTGTTTACCCTATACCAAGTTGTACCAAATATAGTATTATTTAGTACTCTTCGTGCCCTTGTAGTATACATTTCCAAAACTACTACTTTATCACAAACCTAGCACCAACAGAGACCCAAAAATATAACATTTCAAAATTTCAGCTTTATCACACTTAACCAAACTGTTCCAGATTTAGTACCATCACTTAGTACACATTTCCCAAAACCGCCTTCATATATCAATCCCATTTCCAACCTTGATTTTCATACCAAATTTCAAGATTTTAGCTCTATCCGTTGACATAATACCAAATGTTACCGTTTTAAAAGTTTAGTACGATTTTAGAACTCTTCGTAACCTTAAAGTTCGAATTTTAAACAATTCTTTGGTACATTTCTCTTGCACGATTTTAGAACTGTTCGTATCGTAATATTATTGTCAAACTTAGATCGAGTTCGAGATGAGCAATGTTGGTCCTCTCCTTCTGGAGAGGAAAGAAAATAATTTACTGCACAGAAAGTAAAAGGATAATCCGATTTTGCTCCAACTTTGCAAAACCTAATATTTCATAAGTGCTAGGCCAGGTGAGAAAATGGACAATATCGGTCCATTCCATTAAGTACCTCCCACACAAAAGGTCGATCTTTTAAATAATTAAATCTGGCTCTCTTTTTATTTCAAACATCCCATTATTTTTACTAACACAATATCTGCTGTGAAGATGGGATATATCGGTTCACTCCTTCTGGTACATCCCCCACAAAGGGTTTAAATTTTAAATATCCATGAAGCTGATAAAACCCGATATTTACATCCGATTCCATTCAATATTTCAATCAACCCGAGATCTGTTATAAATATAGTAGAGAACGGACCATTTCTACTGGTACCTCCCGCACATTGGGTTTAAGATTTTGAAAAACAAAGCGCTCAAAGTAAGCGACAAAAGTATCCAACTCTTTTCAAATTGTACACATACAAACATTTTTGCTAACCCAAGATCTATTGTGAAGATGATAAATATCTCCGAACCCATTCTAATACCTCACCCACAAAGGGTTACAATTTCGTATAATTATTTCTGTCATAACTTGGGATTCTCTACAACTCCAAATATTTCTTATAACTAGAATTTAGCGAAATTTATGATTTCCAACAAAATTTGATGTTCGATTCCTCCAAATTTTGCAAACACCAATATTTTTATCTGTATTAGATGAAGTATGCAAATGGAATACTTCGGTCCGCTATATCTGTCACCTCACGCATATTTTCACATTTTCTTAAAATTTGCAGCTAACTCATATAAAGTGAAGCAAGTGGTCGATATAGTACAAACCTGTCACGTTGAAATATTTATAACATAGGTCCGACACGCAATGGACAATATTGGTCTATTCCTTTATAATCTAAGACACATAGGGTCAACGATTTGAGTAATCATTTCACAATTCAAAATATATTCAAATCATCGAATATTGGCTGAGGGTCGGCAAAACCGACTGATACTTTTGGACTTGTTTTATTAGATTTATGGATTTTTCAAATGCTCCTGACAGAAGTGATTCTACTTAGGTTAACGATCCACTTTTTTGACCCTACTGGGCTTGTACCGAGGATTGAACAGCATTTTTGGCATCGAACATTTTGCGGCGCACTAAACTCGCTAGGATGAAATTTTATGTCTTATTGTTTTATATTGGATATTTCTCAGGGCTCAGTTGTGGTTAAGTTGAAATAGAAATTCGCGTTGATCAAGACTATTTATATTGGTTCTCTGACGAATATTTCGAAGTTTTACAAAGAGAATATAAAAATGACGGAAAATTGAATAAAATTTACAGATTAGTGTTACACGTGTCAAAACAACATTATGTAATATACATGGTCAGCATATACATATATATGTAAATAAGTGTTTTATAGGCATTTAAATATTCAAATATGCTACACATCTGACGTTACAATCTACCGATACGTTCTGTCTTGTTAAAATTTCAAATTCGGATAGTAAACAAATTTTCGGAAGAGTAAACAAATCTTAATACCTCATGTTGTAGTTCAAGAAATTCACATTCAAAATCTAATATTGAAATAAGATTTTTAAACATTTATTTTTATTAAAATATTTAACTTACATTTCAAGGCCCACAAATCGAAATTGTTCAAACCCTCCATAAATTGTCGGGTGTGTAAACGACACAGCTCCGAAGCATCGGGGTTACGTGAGGCATCAAATGGCTTGCCAATCGATATCAGTTTCTGGCCAATGCTGTAAAGGTATTCTGTAAAGAAAATTTTAAAAAAAAACAATAACAAAAGCATTAGTATAAACAAATACAAAAAAAAAAAAAAAAAACTATAACATGTTTTTGTAATGAAATGTTGGTTAAAGATAATTTGATTAGATATTTTGATCTTTGTAATGGTTATCTCGTTAACAGGCAGAGGCAGGTGCCTGTCATTGAACCCCTGACTCATAAAAAATTGGAACAAGTTCAGTTCAGTTAAGTTTTTTTTTTTTTTTTTGATAAATGGAATTTGATTAGGTCCGCGTGCAATCGCGATGATTTAACACTTTAATGGATGTTTATGCACCTTGACTGATTTGGCTTTGGTATTAAATTGTTATTTCAATTGAATACGAAAATTAACTTCTTAGACATTTCAATGTTGTTGCTACCAGTGTAACAAGAAAAAGAGAATGAAAGAAAAAACGTGCACTCGTTAGAAGTAGGCGAGCTAATTCCATCAGCTATGACGATGACGATGATGGACATCATCATTCGTTTAATGTTTCATTGAAGGTTCACACTAAATATCTTTGGTTGTATGCGCCTGACCTTAAGAACGTGTTTCCAAGTAATTACAAATTGACTTGATAATATTTTTAAATGTTTAATTAATGCATTTAAATTCAACTAAAAACGGTTTATTATATTTTTTATTAAATAAAAGATTTTTTTATTACAAAGTGGTCCATATAAGTTGTCTATTTCTTATTCGAATGTAAATTTATTCAATTTTACAGCAAACATTTAAAAATTGACTAATTTATATGAAATTAAAATTGAAATTTTGAAGCCTTACGGTTCGTTTATTATGAAAAAAAAAAAACTAAATAGAGACTGATATATGTAGAGGAATGATAATACGGCTTATAAGAGCAGGCTGTCATCTTATATATTTTTGAGGGTGGGGTTTTTATACCCTACACCTTGATATATCCTCCTTTCCGTTTGTAACATCCCTAAATATTCGTCGTAGACCCCCTAACGTATATTTTCATGATCAGCATAAAATTCTAAGTCGATTTAGGGATGTCCGTCTGTCTGTCTGCTAAAATCAATATACAGCCCACAATATTTGAAGCAGAGCTTCACAATTTGGCAGAACAATTTGTATTGTGTCTAGGTTGGTTGGTATTGAAAATGATACCCTCCCGATGCTCGGTATTTTGATGATTTTCACGGATTTGTCCAACAATTGGTATTTGTAGGTCATAATGGGTTCTAACTCCGGTGGCGAAACATTGTATGTAAAGGTCCATGTTTTTGTACAGCCCCCCATATAACGGTACCTCTCGATATTCGGTATTTTGATGATTTTTGCCGCATTTTTCAACGGATTTGCCTAAAAATTGGTATTAGTGGTTCGTAATGGATTCTAGCTTCGTTTGCGACATAGTATGTATAGGTCCACGTTTTGGTATTGCCTGCACATAACGGTACTTCCCCATATACGTTGTTTTGATAATTGTTGCCACAATTTTCCACGGATGTGTTAAAAAATTGGTATTTGTAGTCCACAATAGTTTCTAGCTCCGGTGGCAGAACATTGAACATTTAGGTCCACGTTTTCCTATAGCGTACCTATAATCAAACTTAATGATTTCTTACTTGTAAAATCTGTGAGATTTGAACAGGCGAGTTTCTCTATACCTATAAAAGGGAAATAGACTGAAGAACCCAGAATCTTGAAATTTACCACAAATGTCCGTCTAGGTGCGAAGGCGTTTGATAAGGATGGGTTTTTGAGTATACGTACTAAAAAGGTACGGAAATAACTAAAAATTTAATAAATTGAATTGTATTGGTAAAACGTAATGAGCTAGAATTCTGAAATTTAGAATAAGAGTCACTTCTAGAGTGCAGAATGTATGTACCAAAGTACTTTTGGAAATTTGAAGTTTAAAGGTTTCGCAATTTTCTAAAATGGAACCATTTGGTATATATTTGAATGGATAGAGCTAAAACCTTGAAATTCGGTATGAGAATCAAGATTGGAAAAAGGATTGATATAAGAAGGTGGTTTTTGGAAATGTGTACTATGTGCGCGAACTGTACTAAACGTTAATAAATTTGGAACAGTTTTGTTTAGGGTAAACGAATGTAGTTGGAATTTTGAATTTTTTGCATTGGAGTCTCTGTCGAGGGTAGGTTTGTGAAAAAGAAGTGGTTTTGGAAATCTGTACTACAAGTGCACGAAAAGTACTAAATAGTACCATATTTGGTACAATTTGTTATTGGATGATCAGATGATGCTTGAAATCTGTAATTTGGTGTTAGGGTGTGTAACCTGGACATATGGAGATGGTTTTGGAACAGTGTACCATAATTGTACGATAAGTACTAAGTGGTACTTAATTGGGTATTGGATGAAGGAAAACAGCTGGAATCCCCGAATTTAATATTAAGATCTCTTGGTATCTGTGATTGAGATATGGACGTGGTTTCGAAATCAGTACTATAATCGAACTGGAAGATGTTAGTGGTACTAAATTTGGTATCTGGAGCTGCTTTCCTACGAATACGAATGAGATATGTAGGTGTTTTGGAAATGTGTACTATAATTGTACAAAATGTAATAAATTTGATTTTGGGTGAAGGGATAGGGCTCGAAATTTCATATAGATATCACTTTTGATGCCTGTGGCTACGATAAATGTGTACTTTAAATGTACGAAATGTACTAAGTGATACTAAATTTGGTATTTGGTGAAGCGAATCCTCAATGGAAATGTGTAGGTGGCTTTGGAAATGTGTACTAAAATTGTTCGAAAAATACTAAGTGATACTAAATTGGGTATTGGTTGATGGGATGCTGCTAGAATCCCGAAATTTGATATTGAGGTCTCTGTTGGTATCTGTGATTGTTATATGGAAACGGTTTTGGAAACGTGTTCTATATTTGTACGAAAATTATTGAATGTTACTAAATTGGCTATTTGTTGAAGGGAAACTGGAATTCCGAAATTTGATATTGAGGTCTCTGTTGGTAACTAGGATTGTTATATGGAGATGGTTTTTGAAATGTGTACTATAATTGTTCGAAAAGAACTAAGTCGTACAAAATTGGGTATTGTGTGAAGGGATGGATATGGAATTCCAAAATATGATATTGAGGTCTCTGTTGGTGTTTGTGTTAAGATATGGAATTGGTTTCGGAAATAGTTACTTTAATTGTACGAAAAGTACTGTTTGGTACTATATTTGATATTAGTTGAGGGATTAAAGATAAAATTCTGAAATTTGATATTTAGATTACGAATGGTATTTCCAGATATGGTATTTGATATTTGACGGTGGTTTGGAAATTCATTCCATATCTGTTGGTATCTAGAAATGAGATATAGAGATGGGTTTGGAAGTGTGTACTTCAATTGTACAAAAAGTTTGGTTTTAAGTGAAGGGATGAGGTTGGAGTCCTGAAATTATATATAGATATCTGTCATAGTGTCTGTGGCGAATATATGTAGGTGGATTCGCAAATGTGCACTATAATTGTACGAAAAGCACTAAATAGTACTACAATGGGTATTGGGAGATAGAATTCCAAAATTTGATATTGATGATCTGTTGGTGTATGTGTTAAGGTGGTAGTTTTGGAAATATTATTGTACGAAAAGTACTAAATTTGGTATTGGTTGAATAGAATTCTGAAATATGTTACATAGATTACTAATGGTATTTGTTTTCGAGATTTAGCGGTTGTTTGGAAATGTGTCCTATTTTGTACGAAAAGTACAAAATGGTACTAAATTTGGTATTGAGTAAAGGAATAGAGCTGGAATTCTGAAATTTGATATGGATGTCACTGTTGGTATCTGTAGTTGAGAGAAGGAGCTTGTTTAGATATGTGTAATATAATAGTACTAAATAGTACTAAATTTGATAATAGGGAAAATTACACAGCTGAAGTCCTGAAATTTGATATTGAGGTAACTCTTGCGTTGGATAGAAAAATCGAATGCGGGTCCATTGTTTAATGGTTTTAAAGATTTTGAAGACTTTTTGATGTAAAAGGTAAACATTTTCCTTTCCGAAAAATTGGGGTAATGTAAAAACCTTGAAAGTCTGAGCATTTAGTATAATATATGAAGTTTTCACTAAAACTGTTGTAAAACCGAACAAACATCTGCGTTTAGGTATAGTTCAATGATTTGTAGTTTAAAAATATACCCCCATCTTTCACGGGATCACTTCAAATTTCGTAATTGAAGTTCGTATCGGATACTGCCTTCAATGACAGGAAATTGCTTATATAGGTCCACTTCTTCTGGTTATATCAAGGATGGTATTTGGTGTTGGCAATAGGTATCATCTTCCGTTATAGAATATTATCTACTCAAATCCACAATTTTCGCACAGCACTCTTATAAAATATACCTAATTATATACGGTATTTATACTATATAAGGAACAATTTTAAAAGATTTTTTTATAGTTTATAGTATAGAGATATAACTATGTTCTAAGCCATATATCATCCTAACTGAGAGATATTAAGCATTTGTTGCACAATTAACACAAAACAAAATTGTTATGGATGGAAGCTATATCCAAATCTCATCTGATCTATTTTTTTTTTTTCTAAACTTTTAACATCTTCACCCTTTATTCAGCCATATCTCCGATCTACACCAATGTTTGTGGTATCATTTGAGGATATTTTTTCTCACATCAATGTTCTAAATCAACTACATTTTTTGTGATGAGATAATAGTTTTAATATTTTATAACATTTCGTAATATTTTTCATTGTATATATACAAACACCTTTTTGTTTTGCTTTTTTAGTTCGTTCCAAAGGTGTGCGTCATACTTGACAAATGTTTTAATTAGAAATTAACACATTATTGTTTTTTTCCGGCTTTTTGGCAAATAACTTAGAACTTCTTCGTGCCATGCAGTGAGTAGCCTCTTCTGTGTACCAATATGTCAAAAGGGGATTTTTTTTTTCACAATTTTTCACTTTAATAACAAGTAAAAAGAAATCATAAAAA